CGCTGCTACAACAGGGACTGATGATTTTTCTTTCAGCACTGGACAGTCCTTTTTCCAATGCCCCCATTTCTTACAGGGTGCACTCTGAGCCTTCTCTGGAGGGGAAGCTTTCTTGGGTGACTTTTCCTGAGTTGCCTTCTTGCTTGGCTGGGATTAACTCTTTCAGTTGGGCCCTGTCTCAAAACACCTTCCAGGCAACCTCCAGCAGTTTATCCATGTCTTGAACTCCCTTTATCTTTTTTCTTATATCGTTTGAGACGTGACCCACACAAAACAAACCCAGATGTGCTTTGCCATCAGCTGACTCAGGATCTACATCAGTATATTTGATGGCAGTTTCTCTTAACCTGTTTAAAAAATCACTGGGTGACTCATCATCATTTTGCCTTGCTTGGTGAAGCATTGACCAATTTACAGCTTTAGAGACCCCGTGTTTTAACCCACATTCCACGAGGATTTGATATCATTTTAATTTTGCCATCTGCTTGGGTGTATTTGCATCCCACCCAGGGTTTCCAAGGGGAAATATCTCAGTGACAGCGCCTTGAAGCAGCTCCCTGGCTGTGCTCCCCTCAAGGAATGTTGGGATGGATTTATTGAGCACTCGTCTCACAATGGGGTCAGTGATGTGTCTGACACAGAGTTCAGATCAGCCCAGTCTAATTTTTATAGATAGTATTAATTAATAATTAATAGTCTGTATGGTGCACACAGGAACTGTTAGATTATATTGCACCAGCCAGCAGCTACAAGGAATCATCGATAATCAATATCAGTATCAAATGTCACTATTAGGTTGGATGTGTATCTCACACACATGTAATCAGGGTCCAAGAAGATAAAGTTTTTTATTCTGCATGTTCTCCAGTTTATATACTCTTAAAAAAGCTTGATATTAATTGGTGCAAAGCAATTAGCGCCAATATAATTGGCAAAAGTTCTACAGAAATTTAATAAGGCACATTTACACATGTGCTTAGGCACATAGTCCAGCTAACAAAATTTTTCATCTATCTTTTCTAATCTGTTTCCATGATGAAGGCGTTATCGTCTTCCTTGCTATGGATACATTCAAAAACCATCAATTGTTATTTCTTCTCTTAACTCAGCTTTGCTTGCAGACCAGCTGTCAAAGCCCCTCCATAATCAAATTGCTGGTGATTAATAACAATGCGGAAAAGCCAATACAGAAATGCAGAAGCCAGTTAATGTCATTTATAACCCATCTCTGCTGCAGGCACAGTGAAAAGCTGGAAGCTCTTGAGGGGACTCATTCACCCCTGTCCCTGAGTGTCCCCAGAATGTCCCTGAGTGTCCCCAGTGACACCACCCTGGGAATTGCCATCAGGATTTGGGTCAATTTCAGTGAAAATTCCCTGTATTTGTTTCAAATCCTACATGGCGAGGTGGGGGAAGAGGACAGGTGATGCCAGCCATGTCCCCGATGATGTCACTGCCCTGATGACCTCACATTGGTGACATCACTGTCCCTGCAGCAGATTCGGGATGTCCTTGGCAGCTCTTTGACACCACTTGGCCACCTCACAGGGGCTGAGGCTGGCAGGACCACCCTTGCTATAGTACTCGATGAAGTTGTCAACTGCTCCCAGCAGGTGATCCTTTGCCAGGCGGGCGTTGGCCTCCCACAGCTGCTCGCCCTTGGCCACCTTGGCCACCAAGGCGTCAGGGACAGTGGGGAACTTCTTCTTTGTCCCCCTCAGGGCAGCCTCGGTGTCCCTGAGCAGGAGCTGCAGCTCCCAGGGCAACACAGTGGCTTCACCACACGTGGCCACCAAGCGCCGCAGGGGCCTCAGGGCCATCCACACCCGCTGTGTCTCTGTGGTGGTCGTTGTTGCCTCGCTGGCAGCCACCCTGGCCTGTTTCCTCACCGGGGATTCAGGTCTGGGCACTACCTCGGCCCCCTCCTCCCTGCCCAGGGCCTGACCCAGCTCCATGCTGTGCTCCCCAGCTGTCCCATAACCAACAGCCAGGGCTTGCAGGTCCCTGAGCTGGGTGGTGGCTGCCTCAGCGGCCACCTTGCTCCAGGCTTTGCAGAGCTCGGTGGCTTTCCTGGCCAGCTCAGCCCAGCTGTTCACAAGCACAACCACCGACCGCTGCCACTCACTGGCTGCCATTGTCACACGGTTCCAGGTAGTCTGTGGGCAGCTCTTGTAGGCAGCCAGGGCCTGGCTCAGGGAGGGGACAGGGTCACCATCATCTACAGTGACAATGTGCTGCCTCCAGGTGTCATCAGTGCACTGCAGGGTGGCCCGGAGCTCTCTGGTGAATTCCTCCAGCTCCCTGTGCAGGTACTTTGAGGACTCGAGCAGCATCTTCTCGTCCCGCCTGGGCAGGGTGGCCAGCAGCTCTCCCAGAGTGGCCACCACGGTGACCTGTGGCTGCAGCAGGGCCAGGGACAGCTGGGGAGGAGACGAGGGGAGGTGTCAGGGACCTGGTGCCACTTATGGCCTCCTATGGTGGCCCCAAATGCTCTCGAGTGTTCCCATTTGTCCCCTCCATGCCATTGTCAGCCTCTCAGCCTCTTGCTGCCCACCCTG